AAGTGCTTATTCTACTGAGCCATCTCCCCGGTCCCAAAAAGCTACCTCTTGAGGGTTGAGTTTGTAGCTCTGGTAGAGAGCTTGCCTAGCTTGCACAAGGCCAAAGTTTGAACCCAGCCACCACAAAAACAAAATAATCCTTCCAAGACCTCCCCCCACCTTGACGTGACTTGAATTTAGGGAAAAAGAAATCTCTTTGCTTTACTAGGGGAAATGTCAGTGATCCTGACAAGATGATTTTTCCTGAAAGTTTAAAAGTTCATCCTTAAAGCATTAAGAACACAGAAGTAGACCTCTTTGTGATACCCTATCCTATAATGTACAGTGTATTTTTGATTATTTTTCTCTTTTTTTGTTCTCCTTTTTCACTTGGCCCAAACTCACTCTGTACAGCCTGTTCTTCCTCTGATCTTTTGTTTTTTCCTCCTTTTAATAAATGTAAAACTTCCACTGGGGGAAAAAACCAGAACTGGCAATCAAACTCAGGACCTTGCAATTGCTGGGCAGGTGCTTGTGCTGTTGAGCTATCTTCCCTGATACCCCCCATTTTTTTTAGTTGTTTTTATTGGTGCATTTTAATATTGATCATACATAATGTATACATAATAAAGTATACATAATAATCATATTCATCATAGGGAATTTGTACCTGTATATCACACAACTTAAAGACAGTATCTGTGAAGAATAATTATATCTGGGAATTATATAGATTGGTGAATATATGTTCTTTTTAAAATTTGTATGTATATATTATCCCAAAGTTAATTAACTTTTGTTCTTTTTGAGTATTATAATTTAAATGGCTTTTTCCTTAGGGCTATAATTAAGAAGGCTTCTGATCTAGAATATAAAATACAGCGAAGAGCACTTTTTAAGGAGGACTTTATCAATTATGTTCAGGTAAGTGAATAATTATGTTTTTTGAATAATTACATTTCTTTCTTTTTTTTTTAACATTTATTTATTTATTTATTTATTGTGTGTGTATGTGGCCAGCTCAGCCCACCAGGGGGCGGGGCTGGCTGGCATGTGGTGCTGGGGGATTGAACCGCGGTCCCTGATGCTTTGCCAAGCTTGTTCCAAGTAGGTGCTTTAGACCACTGAGCCATCTTGCCAGCCCAGTAATTACATTTCAATCCTCAAAAATTTTGAGTTAGAGCAAGAGGTGAGTTGAACATTAAATTTTCTGCAAAATTTCACAGTTGTTGTTAGGATAGGTAGTTTTGAACAGGATAAGAGGTGATTATTGGGATCTAGGCATGATAGTGCCCACTGGTAATCCCAGCACTGGTGAGGCTGAGGCAAGAGGATTGCCACAAGTGTGAAGCCAGCCTGGTCTACATACTGACACCTGGTCTAAAAAGAACTGTCAACCAACCAACCAAAAAGAGGTAGTTATTGGAAATTACATGGCCCATTGAGGCTTTTGCTCTTGTCAAAATGAACTTTTTCCTTCCTTCTTTCCTTCCCTCCTTCCTTCCTTCTTTCCTTCTCTCTTAGTACCTGGGGTTGAATGTAGAGACTTGCATGTGCTAGGCAATAGCATTGAGCTATATTCTCTGTCCTCTTTTTCTTTCCCTCCTTCCCTCTTTTCACCTTTACTCCTTTCCCCAACTCTTTTCTCTCCTTCCCCTTCTCCTTTCCTTTTCTCTCTTCTTTCCCTCCCTCCCTTCCTATTGAATGAATAAATCAGAGACTCCTAGAGACATAATGTGTGTCAGGATTTTGGCAAGAAATTTGCCTCAGGCAGCAGGATAGGGGAGTGTATGTTTGGTGAAGTGCATGGTTGGAAAATCTCTTAAGTCTGTCCACTTGGAAGGAGGGAATCTGTAAGGTACCATCCTCTAAATGGATGGAAGGTTTGAGCGAAGATAAGACTAAGACATAGACAAAAACAACATAAGCCAGACTAGTTTTCAGTTGCGGGAGAGATAATAATGTTGGATGACAGAGTCATCATTCAGAAAGACCAGTAACATGGAATATGTTTATTTATTTATATATTTTTATTTTTTATTTTTTTGCGGAACCGGGGATTGAACTCAGGCCCTTGTACTTGCCAAGGAAGTACTTATTCTACTGAGCCATCTCCCTGGCCCCCAACATAGCATATGTTTATGAGACATCAAGTTTTGAGGTTAGATTGAAAAAGAAAAGCTGAGCAAACAATATATGAGACTTGGCTAAAAATCTTTCTTATGGAAGGGATCCTGGGGCTTTTAATAAAGTATAGTATTTACATTAACAAAAGTAGAGTGATGGATAAAATTGAAAGTAGTAGGTACCAAGGTGTAGACTTGAAAAATGTTTTATGAGTGTAGTAAAGCGTAAGGATCATGACTACATTTTATTTATTTATTTATTTATTTATTTATTTATTTATTTTTGGTGGAACCAGGGATTGAACTCAGGCCTTTGTGCTTGCCAGGG